ATCACTGTTATCTTTCTAAGAAATACTAAATTAAATTAAGTGCTACTCTCAATATATCAGATTAGATAACATAAATGTTAAAAGTGAAATTCTTTCAATAAGGAGTACTACAAAAGCAGCACTGCATTGAAAGGCAACTTTGTTTTGCTCCTTGGATTCTTTTACTCTAGGAAAATGTACTATGTATCCTACCGGCAAGTATTTCCAAGTGCTTTCTCAAACAGCAGGCTGATTGGGACGATTAAGACAGAAAACATTGACAGGAGCATGGTTAGGCCTAGGCGGAGCGAGTAGCCAGGGCAGCACCGATACTCACTAGCTTCCCCACCATCGTCATTAAAGTGCTCCCGATGAAGACTGAGTGGAGGGTAGAGCCCACTGTGCACGGCTGCTCTGCACCCCCAGGGCCTCCGAACCACGTCTCTCTCTATGCTAAGGCATCCTGAACTAAGCAAGCTCAGAACAGCAAGTCCCACATCTCATGAAACACAGAAGCTTAAGTGGAATTCTGTGTTCTCTCTGGACATGTACACTGCCTTCTGCAGGAAGGGTATACTAATAGATTAATACATTGTGAAGTAGCAATAATCCTGGACCGTGTTTCCCTAAAACATGCAGAATCCTACAACCTGTCAGAAGAGGGCAGAAGAGCTCAGTTTTAATGGCCTAACAGATAGGTTCGGGGTAACCAGGACAAGGCTGGTGAGGGAGGAGAAAAACTATCTCCAACTGATCTTGAAAAGTCTCCTTGTTGGGGTCGGCAGGTGGCATGGTGGTTAAGGTGCTGGACTCCCAGATGGCCACTCACAGTTCGAGTCCCAGACCTGGAGGCTTGCTTTCTCGCTTTCCTTTTCTCTCTCTGGTCAAATTACAAAATAACAACAAATGGAATTAAATAAATAATTTTTGTAAAGCCTTTTTGTTGTCATAAAGAACACTGCACCTCTACCATACCTGCATGGTGAGTGAGTCCCTTCTGCCACTGGTGTCACCTCAGACCCCCCCAGCCCCTGACCTGCTCTGTCAGCCAGGGGGCAATGCTGCATCCTCTGTATGTGGGGGTCCTAAAGACCCTCTACTCTCCTGGCCTAGCTAAGTCCTGTTCATCCTCCAGCTCTCAACCAAGTACCATTCAGGGCTGCTTCCTCTCACTCCCAGCTGGCTCAGGCAATGCCAGGTCTTCGATAAAGACCTGCTGGATCAGAAGACAGCTCGGCCCGTTTCTGAGATCCAGCACCACTCTGCCTTCCCTCTCCACCCTCGCCACTCACAGCCCTCTGGAGCCTCAACTGCACGTTGGTCTATCCGCACTCCCCCAACCCACCGCAACCCAACTAGCGCGTCTTCCATCACTGATTTTTCTAAAATATTAATCTCACAGTGCTCCTCTCCCACTTCACACTCTCCAATGGCTCCCTTTGGCCAAGAAGATCAAATCTTTTTTTTAAAAAAAAGATTTATTTATTTATTTAATTCCATCGTAATTATTATTATTATTTTTAAATGTGACCAGAGAGAGACAGAGAGATAAAGAAAGGGAAAATGAAAAAGCAAGCCGCCAGATCTGGGGCTTGAATCATGGTCGCCAGGTGGGAATCCAGCGCCCTTAACCACCACGCCACCTGCCACCCCAAGATCATTCTAAGGCCCTTAGAAGAGTGTATAAGGATTCTCTGAGCTGGCCTCCCACCTTACACCTCTCTAGTTTCAACTCCTCCTTCTGGTGGGATAGGCTGTTAAGAGTGCTCAGTTTTAGTGGCCTAACAAACAAGTCTGGGGTGACCAGGACGAAGCATCTTCTCTGTCCTTGTTTTCAGAGCAAACATTGGGTACGGCTAGCAGAGCGGCCACCTAACATACATTTATTCTCCTCGTTCTATCAGTACTGTCTCTCCAGTTTTCTCACTTGTTTTAAAAAACCGATGATCCTTTTTTTCTTTAATTCTTTTTTTTCCTTGAAGATTTTTGCTATAGGGCACATGCACTCGCCAGAAAGATAGACAGAGACAGAGACAGAAAGCGAGAAATCACCCCCCTGGGCGGATGGCCACACCACAATCCCCTCTCCTCCATTCTCCTCTTGGGATCCTGGGCACACATGCACACACGCCCAGTGTGAGTTTAAGCCACTGGGTCTGGGACTTGAACCACGGTCAACTACAGGGGAGTCCAGCAACATAGCCATTATGCCAACTACTGGTCCCGTAAAAAGAGATGATCCTTTCTAATAGCAATTTAAGTGTGTGATGGAAAAGACCACTTAAACCCTTTCAGGTCAAAGGTGTGGAATGGATCATTCCCAGTACCCAGAACATCTTCGTGCTTCCATCTGCTTAGGTACTGACTGCCTTATATACCTAGCTTTCCTGCTAAAACATCTTTTTCTAAAAAATAATTATTTTATTTAACTTTATTAACTTATTCATTATTTTAATTTGACCAGAGAGGGTCAGAGCAAGAGAGAGGAAAAGTGAAAAAGTAAGCTGCCAGGTCCGGGATTCGAACCACGGTTGATTACATAAGAGTCCAGCATCCTTAACCACCACACCACCTGAGGCGCCAGCATCCTTAACCCCCCCCCCACCTGCCGGCCGTTAAAACATCTTTGAGGACAGGGAACTTATCCTTGCTGTTTAGTAGGTACTCATTTATTCGCTGCTTGTTAAATAACGCAGTGAACTAACCAGCTGACTCCGGGTTATAAACTGTGACCGACATTTATCCCAGCCATTGATGTGATTTTTAGATACACAGAGAAAAGGCTAAATAAAAGGACTTCACGTGCGGGAGTGCATTCTGAAACTCGTATTTACAAGGAGCTGCACCCTCAGAAAGGGAAGGATGGAGGTGTGCAGGCAACTGAGCTACAGGGAGGCCGACTGAGCGCCAGACAACGGGTAGCTGAATAAAAATGGCACGCGATTTAGACACCTCACAGACAGGATTACAGATGGCAAAAAGGCACGAGAAAGTGAAGAGCACCATCGTCATTAGGGAGATCCAAGCAAAACCGTAACGAAATGCCACCGCGTGCCGTCAGGACACCCCAGGCACAGAGACCGCCAGGAGCTGGGGCAGATGGGCAACTGTGGAATGCTGTAACAATTCTGGAAAACAGTTCTACAGCTTCTTGAAAAATCAAACAAGCCGCCGTCGTATAGCACAGACCAAGAGAAAGCCAAGTACATATCCACACGAAGACTTGCACACGAAGGTTCAGGTGCGTTCTTCCTTTCAGCCGAAACCCAGAAGCAACCCAAAGTCCAGGAACATGTAACGGATAAAGAACCTGGCAAAGCCACACCATGCACTGCTTAGCAACAGACGGAAGTGAACGGCTGACGCCTACAAGACGGAAGGACCTGGAAGTATGCGATGAAGAAGCCAGGCAGGTATGGCAGGGCTCCGTTTGTGTAATCGTCTAGAGAGGAGAACCTTTACAGTGGCAGGAAGCAAACCAAAATGTACCTGCACTCTAAAAGGGGCAGGCGATGGACTGGGAAGCAGCGTGGGGCCACTCCGGGATGATCTGACTGTGGTGACGGGCTCAGAGGTGTACATGTGCCGGAACTATCAAACTGACTAAGGTGTGCAGCTTTGTTTTAAAAAACCGATGATCCTTTTTTTCTTTAATTCTTTTTTTTCCTTGAAGATTTTTGCTATAGGGCACATGCACTCGCCAGAAAGATAGACAGAGACAGAGACAGAAAGCGAGAAATCACCCCCCTGGGCGGATGGCCACACCACAATCCCCTCTCCTCCATTCTCCTCTTGGGATCCTGGGCACACATGCACACACGCCCAGTGTGAGTTTAAGCCACTGGGTCTGGGACTTGAACCACGGTCAACTACAGGGGAGTCCAGCAACATAGCCATTATGCCAACTACTGGTCCCGTAAAAAGAGATGATCCTTTCTAATAGCAATTTAAGTGTGTGATGGAAAAGACCACTTAAACCCTTTCAGGTCAAAGGTGTGGAATGGATCATTCCCAGTACCCAGAACATCTTCGTGCTTCCATCTGCTTAGGTACTGACTGCCTTATATACCTAGCTTTCCTGCTAAAACATCTTTTTCTAAAAAATAATTATTTTATTTAACTTTATTAACTTATTCATTATTTTAATTTGACCAGAGAGGGTCAGAGCAAGAGAGAGGAAAAGTGAAAAAGTAAGCTGCCAGGTCCGGGATTCGAACCACGGTTGATTACATAAGAGTCCAGCATCCTTAACCACCACACCACCTGCCGGCCGTTAAAACATCTTTGAGGACAGGGAACTTATCCTTGCTGTTTAGTAGGTACTCATTTATTCGCTGCTTGTTAAATAACGCAGTGAACTAACCAGCTGACTCCGGGTTATAAACTGTGACCGACATTTATCCCAGCCATTGATGTGATTTTTAGATACACAGAGAAAAGGCTAAATAAAAGGACTTCACGTGCGGGAGTGCATTCTGAAACTCGTATTTACAAGGAGCTGCACCCTCAGAAAGGGAAGGATGGAGGTGTGCAGGCAACTGAGCTACAGGGAGGCCGACTGAGCGCCAGACAACGGGTAGCTGAATAAAAATGGCACGCGATTTAGACACCTCACAGACAGGATTACAGATGGCAAAAAGGCACGAGAAAGTGAAGAGCACCATCGTCATTAGGGAGATCCAAGCAAAACCGTAACGAAATGCCACCGCGTGCCGTCAGGACACCCCAGGCACAGAGACCGCCAGGAGCTGGGGCAGATGGGCAACTGTGGAATGCTGTAACAATTCTGGAAAACAGTTCTACAGCTTCTTGAAAAATCAAACAAGCCGCCGTCGTATAGCACAGACCAAGAGAAAGCCAAGTACATATCCACACGAAGACTTGCACACGAAGGTTCAGGTGCGTTCTTCCTTTCAGCCGAAACCCAGAAGCAACCCAAAGTCCAGGAACATGTAACGGATAAAGAACCTGGCAAAGCCACACCATGCACTGCTTAGCAACAGACGGAAGTGAACGGCTGACGCCTACAAGACGGAAGGACCTGGAAGTATGCGATGAAGAAGCCAGGCAGGTATGGCAGGGCTCCGTTTGTGTAATCGTCTAGAGAGGAGAACCTTTACAGTGGCAGGAAGCAAACCAAAATGTACCTGCACTCTAAAAGGGGCAGGCGATGGACTGGGAAGCAGCGTGGGGCCACTCCGGGATGATCTGACTGTGGTGACGGGCTCAGAGGTGTACATGTGCCGGAACTATCAAACTGACTAAGGTGTGCAGCTTACCGTATGTAAACTGTTAACTCGACGAAGGTCTTTTTAAGAAAACACACAGAAAATCAACCAATCAGCAAACGCTGTATTTCTCAGAAAGCAAACTGCCAGCTTCCTTTAGAGCTGTAAACTGCAGCTTTCTCCAAAACTTCTACCTTCACATCTAAGGCTGTATTTGGCCGCGACTCGGCACAAGTGCCCTAGGAAGGACCTGTCCCAGAAACAGAGCTGTTGTGACCGTGTCTGTTGTGTGCCTCTCGGAAGCTGGGCACATCAGCCCAGCCTCCCGTTAGCTGTGCAGTCTTGGGGACGTTTGGCAACCTCTCCTGGCTTTGGCTTACTGTCTGTACATTAGAGACATCACCAGCATATGACAAATCCAAGGGTCTAGGCCAGTGCTGACCTCAGGCCACGGCCTGCCTCACAGGGGGAGGTAAGGAGGACACACCCTTGGGGACACACAGGCTAGAACTGGGGAAGCCGCCAAAGGGCCTTAGTGCTAGGAAAGTAACCCACTGCACGTACGAGCACGTGGGCTACTGCGACGGGATGCCGCGCACACTCCGCTGCGCCGGCTCGTGTCTTGAAGGCCGGAACCGCTGTCCCACACCAGTTAATGTAAGCCACTGATGACGGAGCGTGTGAGGAGGATTGAAGCCTTGATCCTGCTGATACTCGTGAATGAGCTACCTACTAGTACTGTTACGGTTATAGTTCAAAATGCCTGTGTTAGGAGACATTAATGGTCATTACGATGACCTGCCTAGGCTAGTTAGTAGTTACGGATGAACTCACCCAAATGAGCGGTACTTCACAGAGGAGGAGAGGAGCCAAGAAAACCCCAGGAGAATCTGGAGTCACCAGTGCAAACACTCACCAGAGAGTAAGGGATCAGCACAGCTGTGTCAGGCCAGGACCGCATCATTCACAGCCACCACACAGTTCCGAGCCATTTGTTACCACTTAAGGAAGCAAACAGCTATAATGGCAATGACAACAGGACAGAGTTGGTACTGATTCAGTAATGAGAACTTTTCAAAATGTTCTTTGTTTTTGCAGAAGCAATGGATGCAGGTGGTGGCACGGAGCTCCGGTCACCTCACTCTGCTCCTGACATGGCTGTTCACTCTCACCAAGGAACAAGCCAGTCAGGAAACCGCACAGCAGCCATGGCTTTTAAAGATACTGGAAAAACACCCAAGAAGCCAGAGGTAGCCATTCACCGATTTAGAATCACTTTAACCAGCCGCAGCATAAAGTCCTTGGAGAAAGTGTGTGCTGACTGGTTCGGAGGTGCCGAGGACAAGAATCTCAAGGTGAAAGGCCCAGTTCGGAAGCCTGCCCAGAGTCTGAGAATCACTACAAGAAAAACACCTTGTGGGGAAGGCTTTAGGGCTTGGGATGGTTTCCAGATGAGAATCCACAAGCGACTCATTGATTTGCACACTCCTTCTGAGACTGTTGGACAGACTACTTCCATCAGTATTGAGCCGGGAGTTGAGGTTCAAGTCACCATTGCAGATGCCTAAGTCAACTATTTTAATAAATTGATTATCATCTCTTAAAAAGAAACTTCTAAAAATGTTAATAAAAAAAGGGAAAGGGCTGACTGAAGATAATAATTTTCCAGGTTTACAATAGAGAGCATACGTGTGTGCACACGAGAGAGAAGAGGCGGGAGGGAGAGGGAGAGGGAAGAAGGGGAGAAGCACCCTGATGAGGTCCCATCACACCACGACCCTTCCCAGCCCTCCAGCTCAGCCGTCTGAGTGCCTTCACCGGTACTCACCACGTTTCAAGCCACCTGGGCGCCGGGCCTACGGATGGCCACGCGGCCCCCAGCACTGCAGTCTAGTGCACTGTGGACGGTGCCATCCAGGCTGGGCCCAGTTCTGATTTTAATTTTTATTTGTTTTTAGTTATTATTTTTTGCTATAGGGTACATGTGCTCACCAGAGACAGAGAGAGAGAGAGAGAGGGGAAATGAGAAATCACCCTCCAGGCAGATGGCCACACTGCAATCCCTTCTCCTCCAGGGCTTTTGGGTATGCATATGTGCACATGTGGCCTGTCATGTTTTCTCAAGCCGCAGGGTCTGGGACTCACCACACAGCCAGGTGCGATCCAGCCATCTTAACCACCATGCCACTGGCTGGTCCTATAATTCTGTATTTTTAAATAATGATGATGAGAAATTATTGTTTCTTGTACACAACTCTTTAGATAAAGTGTCATGCAAATTCACGGTGCTTCTGAGAACAGAGCAAACGTCCTTCCCACCACACTGCCTTCCTACGCTTACTTCATGGGACCGATGTCATCTCTCTCTTTTTATTTTTAGGTTTTTGTCATAGTGCATGCACTCGTCAGAGAGGGAGAGACAGAGAAAGTGAAAAATCACCCCCCCCCCGGGGGAGGATTCCTACACCATACGCCCTTCTATACGCCCTTCTTCTCCCTTTTCCTCTCAGGATTTTGGGCATGCACACACATGCACCCGGAGTGATTTTCAAGCTGCTGGGTCTAGGACTTGAACCATGCCCTGCCATGTGGAAGTTCACCACCTTAGCCACCATGCCACCTGCTGGCCCCCAGACTTCGGAGACGTCCAAGCCCAAGGCACTAGGTCGGGAACCCTGGGCTCCCTTGAGTCCTCTTTCCTACAAATTGCCAACCAAGAGCAAGCTACTGGGGTCACACCAGGAGCCTCATCTGTGAACTAATTCCTGTGCTGTGCTCAATTCAGGAAGTTCGAAAAACGTAATCTTTATAACCTTCACTTTGAAAACTATAAAATGCCAAACAAAAATGAGTACTGATGTACCAATCACCCTCTGAGGTAGGACCTTCAAAGATCTCGGCAGTGTGTGTTGCACGCACAGCTGTGTATGTGTGATGGCTGGATGGAAAACACAACATACAGTAACGAGTAGTTACGGCAGCCTTCCCCAGGCACCAGCCATCTGCTGGGCATCCAGCCGTTTTCTGTACGATCTTAGATAGTCTTTTATGTTCTACTTTGTTTTCACAAGTTTATTTTTAATCGCCGAATAACTGTATTCGTTTAGATTTCTAAGTTTTATAAGGCAGGAACCATTCATTATCTTTCTCATTTGTAAATACAAGCTCTCTGAAGCTTAAAGGAGTGAAGTGACTTGCTCCGTATGAAATGGAGCTGGCTGCGTGGCTCCTGAGTGTGTGCTCTTCACCGCTGGAGAGAGCCAGGCACATCAGGTTTGAGCTGGCCATGAGGTGCAGGGGGGCTCTCGCTTCCCTCAGTCTAACTCTCCAGCACGTGCTCCGACTCAGCACCTGCTAGAGCTTCACGACGGATGCCTGAGCTACGGTAAGAACTGCACGTGTCTCTGCAAATACCCATTAAAACAGCAGTAAGCAAATTCTGAACTCACAGGGTAAAAGAAAAAGCTTTTATATATCAATAAGCAAAGCTGGAATACAAAGAATACACTTCTTTTTACTATAAAGAATAGGTGTCGGGGCCAGCAGGTGGCATGGTGGTCAAGGTGCTGCACACGCCCACATTGCTGACCACAGTTCGAGTCCCGAAACTGGTGGCTTACTTTCTCACTTTCCCTCTCTCGCTTGTCAAATTAAAATAAATGAATGAATAAATAAAATTAAAATTAATAATTCTTTAAAGTAAAAAAAAGAGGTTGTCGATGAGAACATTTTTAGGTTTTAAAAAAATTCACTATCCTTTGGTTGTCCTTATTCAAATTGATTCATTTTTGTCAGTTCAATCCTGTTTGGTGGAGATCATACCAGAAGAAAATTATGCTAATACAACATTCTATAGGCATTTTTAGATTAACCCAATGCCAATAAGGTGCAGATGTAAAATGAGTGATAAATGAAGATTTCACAATGAGTAATAAAGAGTAGTCTCAAAGGCAGGGTTAGATTCTGTTTTTAACCATCAGTAGAAAAAACAAAAGTCAGCCCCATCATAAATAGCTTGATACTGCCATGAAACATAACCCCCCACCAATAAAAATAAACTTACCTTTGGTTTTTTGATCAGCAGCCTGAAAAAAAAATCAGAAATTTTTTAGGTATAATAATATGTAGAATGTACACATCTATGAAAGTTTATGAGCAGACTTTTAATGCTAGAAATTTTAAAACTGAGGTTTTTTGCACAGTTAATTTATTATTGGGGAAAATATATAACTGTCCATATGCCCCTGACTACATGCCAATATTCACGTAAAGGCAAACACATCTTAAGCTCGCAGAGCACTGTTTTAATACAGCCTAAAGGGTACGTAAGCTTAAACTACAAGGTACATTAAACTAGGCAAGACCGAAGAGAAATGGCATAACTTAGTATACGAATATATGCCATAAAATTCAAGTACAACTATAAGGTTTACAGTAGGGCTTTTTTATTTTTAATACTTACTAGTAGGATTTATAGAACAACAGTTGCCAAAGCTGCAAAAGTTACTGCTCGCATTTCTAACGAGATCAGTTTGATGGCCCTCCTCTCATCTCTTAGACTGGACTGCTGGTTTTAGCGGAAAGGCAGGCTGTGTCTTCCTACCAACAACTGAAGCCAAACTTCCTAAAACACAGCTCCGTTATTTCTAGTTCTTTAAGAAAGACATTTTGCAGCTGTTGCCCTATAATTATTTCACTAGCAAAACATCTATTATTCACTAACTACAGATTCAGCGGATTGATTTTTTAAAAAAGTAACAGAGCCACACTTTGTAACATTGTGGCCCTGATAATGCAAATGAGACACAGGATGATTATACAGACTGTGAAGGAGCAACTCTAGCCAAACCTTTTTCTGAGCACCTTCCTTCTTTTTCTTTTCTTCCTGCTTTTTCTTTTTCTTTTCTTCCATCAAACGTTCCTCTTCTTGTGTTTCTTGTTCTTTTTCCCTATCAAATGTAAAGGAAACTGATGTTTAGCAAGACACCAACTTTACATCAAAAACCGAGGTATGAGGGGAGACAGCGCGGTGGCGATGCGACATGCTGCGGGGACGCGCTGCGAGGCCTCCTCCAGCACAGGAGAGTGCGCGCGCACGCACGTGCCCAGGCTCAGGACTGGGGGAGGTGATGGGAAGATGGCTGTGTGAAGTCCCAGTTGAAGGTACTGTCTCTTTTCTCATTTATGGAAGAAATAAAAACAATTTCTCTTCATTCATGATACAGTGCATATAGGCACCTGTGCCCGAGATGTGCCTGAGACAGTAAAAGAGAGGGAGGGAGGGGGCACCCTCCACAGGGTACGGTCACACAACAAGCCTCAATCCAGTCCTCCAGCCTGTCGGATCCTCAGCACTTGCGGGTCCGCCGGGCGTGCCTCAGGCTGATGGGAACTTGACCACAGTTGCCCCATGGGATCTGAGCAGCGCGTTACCACTATGCCATGGAGGAGGCTCAATAAACACGTTTTTAAAAAACAAAAACAAACAAACAAACAAAAAACGAAAAAAACATTCATTGAGCCAGCAGGTGGCATAAAGGTTAAGGTGGCTGGATGCCACATGGCCAACTTCATGGTTTGAGTCCCAGACCAGCAACTTGAAAAATCATGACAGGTGTGTGTGTGTGTGCCCAAACTCCCCAGAGAAGGCTGGAGAAGCGACTGTGACATGGCCATCTCCCTAGGGGGTGATTTATCGCCTTCCCTATTTCTGTTTTTCTCTGATGAGGGCACGAGCCGTGTAACCAAAGGAAAAATAAAAAGCATTAGCTACAGAAAGTTTTAAGTCAGGCAGGGTTTTACATATGGAATAAAGGAGGATGCTTGGAGGTGTTAGAAACAGAACCTCCGCACATTACTGGGTGCGCTCACCCGGTACCACGCCAAGCTGACCTCTCCAGTGCTTGGTTCTTACTCAGCCCACACTGAGGCACCAACCTACCATCAGGCACTGTGCTGGGGAAGGCACAGGAGCAAGACGCAGAGCCTTCAGGCAGCCCCGGGCCAGACTTTCTGGGCCTTCTCAAGGACCACCACCACCCACAGAACCACCAGGGCAGCCATTAAAATGCACATTCCTAGGTTCCACGCCGGCCTGACCAGGCCGAAATCTTTGCAGGTCTCTGCCTGCTGTCATTACATGTTGGATACACCGTTTTTTAAAACAGAGACTAATACAGAGCACGGTGAGCTACAGTAAGAAGACGCTGCGACATAGTGGAAAGCCACTCTGCCCAGAGGAGGCCACAGCGGCTTGGGGCGCTGTGTCAGTTATTTATCTATGCCCACCAGCTTCAGTCCAGCCACTGACACATGCTCTGCAGTGAGTTCCCAAAGCGACTCCCGGGTGAGCTCACCACGGAGCTTCCTTGGCAAACGGTCCCACGCTCTGTCGAGCCATGGTGGGTCCAGGCCATGGGGAGAAGTGCTGGGTGGTGCCCTAGCCACAGGCCCACACTGAGAGGTCCCTCAGCAACCTTGCAGCTCTGACATGGCTGGTGTCACCTTCCCAAGATCCTCTCAACACAAGACACTGAGCTCCAGGCCTCCGGGTGCTCGCTTCCCCCTAGACTGGTCTCTGGTGGTCCTTTTGAAGTCATGGCCCTCCCAACTGACACACCGTGGGCTCCAGGCCTCCTGCTCTGAACCCACTTTCTCGGCACACCCATGTGCCTGGCCGTCAACATACCCCGAGGGCTGCCGCCAGGATGCCCACTTCCTCTGGGTGCTCATTAACTGGCTATGGCTACCCTGGGCCTTGCCTGTGTCTAGCAACTGCAGGCCAGCTCCGGGCTGGCAAACCTGCAAAGCAGTCTCTCCAAGCGGCTGCAGCAGCACCTTCACTGGGTGCAAACCCTGGACTCCTTTGGAGTCGGCCCTCCCTTGAGCATTCCCGTCGGTGCTCGACGCCATACACTTTCTAGTTCCTTTTTTCCATCACAGTTGAGTTATGTTAAACTCTCCCTGTTATACATGTGGCTTCTATCTCCGATCAGACCTGGACCAGTACAGGTGGGAAGGTGGATTAATGCATTAAGCAGAAGAAATAACATGCACAAAAGCCTCTGAAAATATTACCATCCGTTAGTGCTGTTCTCAATTTATTAATTCTGGAGCTTTTTCATCTTTTTAGACAAGATCTCACTAGGCTGCGCCTGCCGGCTGTGAGCCTGCAATCCTGCATCAGCCTCCCGGTGGCCAGGAACACAGCTTTGAGGGCGGGCTGGGGTCACACCAGGCCACCCAGCGGCCTAGTCTGTCCCCAGGCGGCGTCTAGCAGTGTGTACCACATGGCTGGGCCTAGAGTTTGCTTTTAATTCACAAACCGTGTTTTACATACAATAACATACACAATGAATGCAACCTAATGTTAATTTGTGCCTATTTACAAAATGCCATAATAAAAATCATTTAAATCCTGATTCTCAGTCTCTGGCTGCCCATCAGAATTACCTGGGAAGCCTCTAAACTTCTCAGACCAAGGCAGTAACCCACGCCAAAGAGATTTCTCAAAATAACTCAAGCATCAGCAGTTGTGGCTGCTGTCCAGACAGCCAGTGCTCAGCCAAGGTTGAGAAGTACTGCCCCTCTTCTTTTAAAAAAAGAATTATTTGATTTCATTTTATTCATCATCATCATCATCATCATTTAATCTGACTAGAGGGAGATATGGGGGGTGAGGGGAGAGTGAGAAAGCAAACCACCAGGTTCAGGACTCAAACCACGGTCAGCCATGTGGGAGTCCAGTGCTATAACCACCATACCACCTGCTGGACCCCGTTGCTCCTCTTTTTATAAAACATTGCCAGAGAGGGGGAACAGCAGATGGCATAATGGCTGTCGCTGGACTCCCACATAGTTGACAGCAGTTCAAATCCTAGACCCAGCAGCTTAAACTCTCGCCGGGTACGTGTGTATGCCCAAAATCTCAAGAGGAGAATGGAGGAGAAGGGATTGTGGTGTGGCCATATTCCCACCCCACCCCACCCCCATCCCCCGAGGGAGGTGAGTTCTCACTTTCCCTCTGGTGAGCGTATGTGCCCTATAGCAAAAATCTCTTAAAAAAAAAAAAAAAAGGAAAAGGGCCAGAACTTGTGGCATCAATGCGCCGGCCATGCCCATGGAGAGAGGCTGAGGTGTGGGAGCTCCTGCCCAAGGTTCCAGGACGCCGGGACCGCGAAAATGTCAGCCTCGTTAGTCCAGGCCACTGTCCAGGCTGTGAGCAAGAGGAAGCTGCAGCCCACCAAAGCTGCCCTCACGCTGACACCTTCAGCAATAAACAAGATAAAATGCCTTCTTAAAGATAAACCTGAGCATGTAGCTGTGAAGGTTGGTGTCCAGACCAGGGGCTGCAGTGGCCTTTCTTATACTTTAGAATATACGAAGACAAAGGGAGATTCTGATGAAGACGTTGTTCAAGATAGAGTCAGAGTGTCCATCGAAAAGAAAGCACAGCTAACACTTTTAGGAACAGAAATGGACTATGTTGAAGACAAATGACCCAGTGAGTTTGTGTTCAATAACCCAGACATCCAAGGAACTTGTGGCTGTGGAGAAAGCTTTAATATTTGAAACCTCAGGACTCCTTTAGCCGGGAGCTCCAGGAAAGCTTGGTGAAGCCTTGGGACTCACTGAGGAAACCATGCAACCATCACGTGCTTAAGGTTTATAGTGTGTCTGCCTTGTGAGGAAAGTAAAGTGCTGCATTTTGAAGATGAAGCCAGGGTGTGAGGTTCCAGGAGAAGTGGTATTTATTTCCTCTGTAGAAGATAAGAAAATGGGAAGCCACTGCTTTTTGTATCATTACCTGTCCTGTAAAGAAAAAAAGTCAACCTGCATTTAGCTCTCTTGCACCCCTTTTGTTAGAACCTATTGTTCATTAAAGTTGCATTCGTAGAATGAGCTCAGGAAATGGTTGGAAAATAAATTAAGAATTATTTTATTTAACTTTATTTATACATTTTTAATTTGACCAGAGAGTGACAGAGTGAGAGAGAGAGGGAAAGTGAGAAACCAAGCCGCCAGGTCTGGGACTTGAACCACGGTTGGCTATGTGGGAGTCTGGCGCCCTTAACCACCATGCCACCTGCTGGCTTCCCCAAAGAAAAATTAAAAACAGACAAACAAAACTTTGTCAGAAGCTGTGTGCACTTGGAGAGTGGGAGGGGCTGAGAGAAAGTGAGAAAGCACCTCCCATGAGGGACAGACATGCCGCAGTCCCTTCTCCTCCATCTCTCTCCTGGGATTTTGGGCCCGCACACACTCACATTCAGCATATTCCTCAAGCCCACGTGCAGCTGGCCATGTGGGGTCCAACTCCTTAACCACCACACCACCAGTTGGCCCGAGATACACTGCTTTTAAAAAAGATCTTCACGGGGACCAGCAGATGGTGTAACAGTTACATCCTGGGATTTTGGGCCCGCACACACTCACATTCAGCATATTCCTCAAGCCCACGTGCAGCTGGCCATGTGGGGTCCAACTCCTTAACCACCACACCACCAGTTGGCCCGAGATACACTGCTTTTAAAAAAGATCTTCACGGGGACCAGCAGATGGTGTAACAGTTACATCACTGGACTCCCGTGTAGTCAGCTGCAGTTCAAGTTCCAGACCAAGTGGCTTAAAACTCACGATGGGTGTGTATGCGTGTGTGCCCAAAATGCCAAGAGGAGAATGGAGAAGGGATTGTGGTGTGGCCAGTTCCCCTGGGGGGTGATTTCTTGCTTTCTGTCTCTCTCTCCAGCAGTACAGATGCCCTAGTGCGCAAAAAAAAACGCAAAAAAAAAAAAAAAAAAAAAAAAAGCGACTTCACAGGGCCAGCAGATGGTATAGTGGTCACGTCGCTGGGCTCCCACACGGCTGACCACGGTTCAAGT